GAGATCATGAGACTTGAATTCATAAATCTTCCATTGTTCATTATTGCTAACAAAAAAATTGCATTTTTCCCTTTTTCTGTAACCAAAATTATTCAAGAAATGTCTTCCGTTGATGAATTAGATTTATTGGAATCGTCATAAATTCCATCCTAATCTGATGAAATTGGGCTTCATTATAGCATAGTACATTACCGACAATCAAGGGGTTTCTAGGCCACTGTAAAACACTACTGGATAATCAATCAATACTAATGTCTGTGCTTTGCACATGGTAAAATGTCGCTTATTGGATCTGCGAATGTACTGGATAGAAACTGTATTCGAACGGATGTCTATTACTACTAATTTGATGATTGTTTTAGGATCTGTTGCAGTTGCATTGAATATTCGGAGAACAGTGGTCGCACATCATGGAAATGCCCATAGTCTGTTCTAGCGAACGGCAAACCAGTCTTTCTTTTAGCTGCTAGGTGTCCACGGAAAACATGCGGAGACACCAAGACAAAGAGGAAATACTGTAGCACAAAGCATGGTAAGAGAATAGAAAGCAAGGAGAAAAGATTGCAGTTCTAAGAAAACCGGAATGGAAAATAAAGTGATGCTAAAAATTTCGCAGTGTTACAACATAGTCTTACAAATTACCGTGATTAAAAACAAATTGTATACAAATCATTGCTTGATAATAATATTGTATAGGGGCGATTTCTGATTATAGAAAGGTATTAGTAGATTTTCATGAAAAAAAAAATCTGTGTATATATATAGAAGAATGTCCATTTCTTTGTTTGTGCTTAAGTCATATAAATCTATAGTTTTATTCGGAGCTTAACGAAATTTTGCACAATTGACCTTCAAAAAAAGACGAAGGTTACGGCCTACATATTTCGAAAACCCATTTCAGAGTCCACACTCAAGATACTTGTATTAAAATGATGCGCTCAGTCACCCATATCGTATAAACGTCACCAAGCTTAGGTGCACGTCGCCGTTGTTAATTTTTCCTCTATGAGTGAAAGTCACCAGTGCTAAGCAAGAATTTATATTGTTTCTTACAAACAGTAAATATTAGTATTTGTATGTAGTTTAGGCTTTGAAATCATGACACCTATCTTTGGTTCACGTCCCCGTTGTTGCATTCTCACAACCCGTTTTTACTAAAACCGTTAGATGGCGCCACGCTTTTTACTCTTTAAAACAGTGTAGAGCTTTCCAGAACAGTGTGGTACTTTTAAAGTAGTATTTAAATGCACTTTCTGTCAGTTTTTTTTAAATACTTCGAAAACGGTGGATGACAAAAGTGGTGAAAGTTTACGAAAGCTCATAAAAAAATAAGGACAACAAAGGAAACATAAGTTTTTATTAAACCGATAGATGACACCGTGTTAGTTACCTTTATTGTACAGCGTAGAACTTTCAAGAATACTGTAGAACCTATAAATCCGAATTTAAGTGCGTTCTCTATCATCGTTTCGCGAATATTTCAAAAACGGGATTTAGAAAAACTATCCAATCTCCCAAAAAGCCTCTTCACTCTGCGTAAAGTTCAGGCAATACCAGGGACTTCAGCTAGTATTGTATAAAGATAAAAAGTGAAAGTTTCATTAATTTCCAGGTTTTGAATGTGTGAGTTTCCTTCTTCCTTTTTCGGTATAAATTTATTAATTAATCCAAAAATATGAAATATAATGGTAAAAATATTACTTATTGTTCCTCGTGTTCACAAATCATTATGCGAAAATTCACTTAATTTAGAAAGCTCATATCTGCAATGATTTGTAGGCGTTTTATTTTTTTACCAGGATGCTTTGTACGACGATTTTTTAAAACTACTAAGTTTCTGCACAGAATTATTTTCTCTCACGATGTTTTCTTTTACGCTGTTTTAGAACTGCTATGTTTTCTCTTTGCTTTCTCTTCTCACGCGATGTTTTGAACGCTTACGTTTTTGCCTTGCGTTATTTTCTCCTCGATGTTTTCGTCCGTGATAGTTTTATCTTGATGTTTTCAGCTACAACCAGTAGTTGATTTTGAAATGTTTGAAATGCAGCTTTGTTGATTCTTCTTTAGTTAGCATATGTTTTACAGTTCAGGATTTATGTTCCTTTCGAATTACTATTAAGTAGGCTTCAAAAGAAATGCTTTTCTGCATGTTTGAACAATGAAGTATCGGGCCGCTATTGGCTGATATCACAGGTAGAACCTCCAACATTCCCCCTTTTAGAGGGATCTACTCTGGACCATCTTTTCCGTTGCATCACGCTTTTGCATGCTAAAGCCTCACCTGTGACGTTTGTCTCCATTACACCTGTACCATTACTCCATTATATTTTTATTTACTCCATTATTCCATTATATTTTTACAGATTCTTAATAGATTGTATCAGAAATGATGATAGCCTGATAAAGTTTAAGAAAAAAATCACTTTACAATTCTACAAGTTTCCACAAACGCACTCGTTCGGCTCTTCTCAATATCATAGTGCGCAATCAGTATTTATGCTTCAAACTACTAAGAACGTCAAACACAAAGCAGTGCAAAATGCATCTAAAAAGGCAAAGCTCCTACAGAGATCTCACGATACTCCGAACTCACGCTGAACTGAACAAATGAGAAACTGATATTCTCTTTGAAACTGATATTCATATAGTTTTATACATTCTAATAGACTTTTAATTTCTGTCCTTATATAGGTTTCCTCCGCCCGCCGAAGAATTTCTAGTACATTATACTTATCAAAATTACTGGAAGGCATATGAAAGCCGGATACGGTTACGATTGCATATAGGAACCAATTGCATTTATTTAATCCCACTACCAATTACAGTTATACGGAAATTAGACCAAAACGTCGACAAATTTTCGTCAATTTGGCGATTTCTTGTCAAATTTGTGGCCAAAACTGCTGCCAGCGTGGCAATATCTCGCCGATTTAGCGAGATAATCATTTACTCAATATTAAATAGACTTTCCGTCTGTAATATTACTTTTTTCGCAGCGCTTCACCTCTTTCAAGTGGATGTTACATTATACAAAAAATACTACAATTCCGTGCATAATTTCATTTGTTAAATTATTCGTGGAATTGTAGTATTTTTTATTAGTGGAATTGTTTTATAGCATATTTATAGTGGAATTCTAGTATAAGTTATTTACATATATTCAAAAATTCGTAACAAAATTTTATCTTAACTGATATTCAACGTCCATTAACTAGCTAAATATTCTCTTGCATGTGTTCAAGTGAAATTGGATTTTACTTACATTAGCCTTATTGCGCTTCCGCTATTTAGGAACCCTGTTATGAGATATTGTACATACAATTTATACCTTCTAAAACACTTCCTAAATCACTTTTTGTTATAATTTCTACTGTCTATGCATAGATGCCTCCATTTACGCTTTTAGTGTTCTGAGCAGAACACTAAAAAGCAAGCTCAAGCTTGCTTTTTAGTGCTCAAGCTTGCTATTGCAAGCTGCTATAATCTCTGAATCGTAGAAAATAAAGCAAGCTGAAGCTTTCTTTATTTTCTACGATTTGCAATGAAAAGGAAATCTTGGAATTTCAGGTAAAATTTAATAATGGAATTTCAAATTAATTTATATTGGGATTTCAACTGGCAAGGAATTTTCTGTCTCTTCGTCGCGTGCCTTCGTGGTGTAATTGGAAGCACATCAGGAGTCCAATCTCGGCTAAGGCACAGCTAATTTTTCTTGTCTCTTGCTCCGAAATAAACCTAATGTTGCGAAATAAACCTAAACTGGAGTTTTGTTTTTCTTAAAATCTCTCGTAACTGTTTCAAACTGCCGGTTTCTGAAAGAATAGGTCTTAATTCATTTAATTCATTTTTAACAATAAATTTAAACTAATTCTGTTCCTAAACTGCTGTTGTATCTGCCTAGTTTTTCCTGAAAAATACGCGAAATAAAATATTTACCACTTTTTTTTTTATCTTGTACTTTGTTCAACATTTTCAAAAACATTTACTACAGAATTTTAGATAAATTTTTACTACAGAGTATTTAGATAAACATAAAATATTTATCTAAATTTAAAACAAGTTGCGCTATAAGCGCTATATATTATCAACAAACAAATTGCGTTATAAATTATCATTAAGTTTCATTAAAGCATAAAGTACTTTTAGAATGATTTCCAAAGCATACGTGATTTCCTAAATAATGTCTGCCGACGAGGGCTAACGCTGCATTACTAATAATTATTGTGGCTTCAGTATTTAGTTTCTAAATCCGAAAATGTAATTTATATTCTAAAATCTTTAAGTATAGTTGAAATAAAAGTTGCTTCACAAGATAACCATATAGTTTTACACATTCTAATAGACTTTTAATTTCTGTTACTTATTAGTTTGTAGGGTTTATATTTATTTTAACTAACATTTATTTTAAGTTTAAGCTATCTTTCCTGTCAAGCCTTTACTTTCCCCTGGAATTGCCATGCCAGAGTATGTAAATTAGTAGAACGCGCAGATTAAAATGTCGAAGTAATTGAGTTAAATAGAAGGGAAACGAGATTGTGCTTCTTGAATCACGAGCGTGAAGGTTGCTTAGTAGAAAGTTTAAGAACCATGCGTTTCGGCCTGTGTGCGTATTTCGACAGTTCGTTGAATCTTTCAAATTCTGAATCAGAAAGTTTGCTGAATCTCAGCAGTATCTTAGAACATGGTTTAGTTACGATTATAGAGCCTCGTAGGTAGTGACTTCTTTGTTTATTCATCCTGTCATTTATTTTTAGTTGAATTTTTGTCTATTTTGTTCAATCGCCGGGTCAGCGTAGTTTGTGAGTGTCAAGTGAACGCAGCTGTGATTTCTAAAGCGAAATAAAAAGGGAGTTAAACCCTTCTTCAGAGTTGTGTAATTTCCAGTTCATAGCAGTCACTACTACTGTTGCTGACAAGTTGGGGCCTCCCAACATCACAAGTTCACCAACTATTACTGAATCAAACGTTCAATCCTCAGAATAATATAAAAAAACACACTATTTTATAAAACAGAACAGCATTTTTTTTATCTTAATTTCGTTTTTAGAAATTTAAAGCAAACATAATTTATTGTGGTATACATTCATACGAATGTGTACAAATTCAAATAAATTGATTTACAATCTGAGCAGGAAATTAGCTAAACAGATAAAATAATATATGCGTCTTTCGCTATTATCTTACAAAGTAGCCTCTTGACAGAATGCAAGCTTATAAAAATCTTAATAATGTTTCGTAGCAGCCACTCTTAGAAGTCTCTCTTTGAAACTGATCATATCAGCCGGCAGGAGCTGGAGATATCCCAGATCTAAGGCGCAGTTACTCTCTGAAATATAATTAAATTAATCAGTGTTTTCATGCAAACCCTTTCTATTAAGTGTTAATTTATGTAATTATCATTGAAAAACTACCTAAAAGATTCTAAAGTAAGCAAAATAAAGATTTGTTTCATATATTACAATGTAAAAAAAAAAAAAAAAAATAGTTTGGGCAGGAGCGGGAGTTCAAATTATTGGTGGTTCACGTATGGAGTTTCCTTTGCATAAACACCATAGTAAATAAATGTAATCAATATGTACTTTATTTTATTATAAAAACGTGTGTATCCATTTCAGATATATTATTAATCTCTGATAGTATAAAGGAAACGATAATTAATCTCACATAGGCAACGTTAGATAATATTATGTCAAATAATCTGAATATTCTAAATTCTGAGTATTACAATGAGATACAAAGATTATATGTATTTCAAATGATATCCGCTTTGCTTTAGCTTTATAACGGTTGTATAACCCGGCTTTATTTTGAAATAAAACAGACGGCCATGCATGGAACAAAATGCAGATATTCTTTATATATACTTTAAACAATTTCCGTAAAGAATTAAAAAAAATTGGAACAAAATTTTCTGGCAACAGCTTTTTATTTAAATTAAGAAATATCGTTTGCTACTTTTAAATTTATTCTTCTTTCAAAATATTGCGTTCAAGCAAGCTGTCGATTGAAGAATGTGATTTTATGCTTTTCGAAGAGAAATATTTCTATTTCTTAATTCAAAAATGTTGTGAGATGAAGCGTATTAATATTTCAAAACGCAGAATAAGCAACATTATTAATGGGAAAGGAAAAACTACTAGTCATTACTTCTATATGGAAGGAAGACTCCAAACGAATACTTAAAAACGATATGCACTGTTTCAAATGTTTCTAAAGTTAAATCATTGATAACAAAAGAAATAAATCAATCGCAAAGTTTTTAAATACCTTTGTAACAGCAATAAATAAAATAATAAACGAAGATTTAAAAATTTAAAAGAGCTAAAAAAAAACTAAATGTTCACCAACTTTTGCGGTGGGATATGATTCAAAGAAGAACAAATTGTAAAACCCAGTATAAAAACTAGTTAGCAGAAGACAAATGGAAATACATTTTAACATGAAGCAGGGAATGATTGCAACAAAGAGAGTTCTATTTGTTATAAAAAACTAAGAGAAAAAAGCGTACAAACCTGGTTCCGTCAATGCGAAGAAAGTTTCAGTAAGGTGTTTATGATAGTCTCAGAATTCTCTTGGGAAATTAAAAATAAGAAGAGTGGGTAATGTTTAACTAATCTGTCAGAGCATTCGTTGAAAAAACGAAGACATCTGCAATGTGTAGAAATCGTCTTAATCCAGGACTTATTATCTAAAATTATAGGTGCCGAAGCCCTGCAGAAGGCCATTAGAAAAAGTGAACAAAAATAAAAAATATGAAATAATAATTCATAATACAATAAATAATAACAATCAAAATAAAATTAAATGTAAAGAGATAAATATAATAATGGCAAAAAATAGGTACTTTCTTTTTTTATTCATCTAGAAAGGGGTCGGAAATTTTTTTTGAAAACGTCCAGACAGTGAAAGTCTTTGAAAGAGGGAAAATTAGGAAATGATATTTAACTTCACATTTTGAAGTTACATTTTGTATTAATGCGATGAATGTAATTGTTTTTCGGAGATAATATTTCATGTTACTGAAATTTGAAGTTAGTACTTCTTATCATTGACGTTATCTGTAAATTGTGATCTATATTATCCCTTTACATAATTCATTTTCAAAAATGTCCTTTCACGTTGGTAAGTACTCCCAAATACAGACAAAATCCCCCGTGAATATAATTATAATTGGCTGTATTTATCTCCAGAAATATATTTATGGAATTGGATTAGATCTATTTCTTTAAACAGCATCATTTTTAACATACCATCATTTTGCAGATCAGAAACTTGCAACTGAAAGTCTGATGGATGCTCCTCAATTGTATAGACAAATGGATTTTGAAATACGGGAAATATATTTTACATTTGCATCAAGATACGAGAAACGTTGTTATAAATACAATTTAAGTTCTAGAATATACGTCTGCTGCGAGTGGTTTGGGGAATGGTGATTGCGCTACTGCTTGAAATATTTTACAGCATGGCAAATTACCAAAATGATGAAATGTGTATTTCAAACCATGCAAATATTCGGCGGTATGACGT